GGGGGGGGGGGGGGGGGGGGGGGGGGGGGGGGGGGGGGGGGGGGGGGGGGGGGGGGCAATGCTGTAAAGGCGAGCGTGTCCGCACCAATTTTTGACGTGTGCTTTTCACAATGTGTTGGTGGTTGGTTTCCTACGTTCAAGATGCTTGCTTTTTGCCTTTGTGCCGCAGGGTAGCACCGGAGGCCTGCGTCGCGTTGATGCAAATACCGGCTGTTGCTGCTGCTGCTGCTGCTGCTGCTGCTGCTGCTGTTGTGGTGTGGTGGAGGTGTTGGTGGAGTTTGGCGAGTTGTGTGACGACATCCGACACCGTTGTCCCGTGCTATGTACATTTCTGTTTGTGATGGAGACCCCACCTTGCGAGAAAGAAGGCGGTTCGAAGGCGAGGGGTGGCTGTGCTAGATGTATTGCTTTTTGTTGCCTTGATATTCGTGTGTGCGGTGTGTGACGAGAAGGGAGATGGGCATAGAGAAGCCGTTGTCAGGAGTCTTGTGGTATGGTTGTCTGCACCGGTAAGTCAGTTCTGACCTGGCGGTAGCCGTGTGCCGTGTACGTCGGGTGTTCTTGCGCGTGTTTGGCATCGAGCCTTGCTGTTCCATGCAGCACCGGAAAGAGACTGCCGTGACAAGATACAGAGGATTGTGCTTGCGTACGAGCGGCGCGTGGCGTGGCGACATAATTTCGCTGGGTGGATGACGCTTGTGTTTCGTCTGTCGCGGCTACCCATGTAGAAGTTAGAACGATGACGCTCTGCTCGAGGCTGGAGTTCTTTCGCGGTCGATGTTGCGCTTGGGAGAAAAAGACTGTCCACATCTCGCGATTCTTCGACACTATCCGAGCGAGAGAACGTCCCACATTCACTCGCCTCGCGTTGTTTGTTTTTTCGCTCTGATCCCGGCGTTCCATCCAATCAGTACCTGAGAGCCCGTGTCAACCTCGAGATCAACCAAAGCAAGCCCCTCATCCACAGACATCCACAGAAGAAGCCCACCCGTTGCAAGGTCTCGTGATACACTACCGCAAGATCTCGTCACGATACAGTGTTGATTGTTGGGTGCTGTATCTTCGTCTGAACGTGCTACTCCCAAATACCAATTGAGTTGGTACCAAGAAAACCCCCAAATATTTGCAATAAGAACCCAAAAACGACTCCGAGAAAGTATCGGTGCGAAGGTGTGCCTATTGTGGTAGAAGTCAATCGACGGATACTCTGCGCATCGGATCCTCCTTAACACAGAACTTGCCTTCAACTGGGAAGCTATTGTGGCCAGGACGGGTAGTTCGATGGAATTGTCGCAAATTCGTTGTAGGATCGACTCCAAGATGTGTCCATGGGAACAATGTCTAAATCAGGACAAAAATTGTACACCTACGGAGATTCGAACCATTATCCTGCCACTGAGGCCGTACGCGAAGGTGTATGGATTCTGTTGAGGGTCAATCGACGGTTTCCCTTCGAATTGTGTCCCCCACCAGCACTACACCAGTGAATCAACGGAATTCATTCCTTCGCCGTAGGAAGTCTAGGAAAGAAGCTGTCCTTTCCCCAAAAACACCAAAGCTATTAAACGATTGGTTGTGTTGTGTGTAAGGGGAAACGGCCACGGCAAGTATCCGACACAGGAATACAGCCAGCCCCACAAATAGACGAATGGCCCATCACTCCATTCATCGCAGAAACCGAGAAAAAACACTGCGATGGTGGATGTGGTGTCGGTTGGACACACACGCCGGTCGCCCCGGTGGTCTACTGGGTAGCCTCGTAGCCTGCTAAGGGCCAGGTCATGGGTTCGAGTCCCGACAGAGTGAGTTTTTTCCCGCTTATTAAATCCTGGTCTCCGTTGGAAGCGACGCGCTACAAAGCTCGTTGTTAGTGAACTTGATCAACTTCATAAGTCGCGAGGGAAGGGATTGCTGCACCCTTCTCGCGATAAAAATATCTCAGGCAGGAACCACAGGAGGGGGTCCAACCCCCCCCTCCTAAGTGACCCCGGTTGGGTCGTCTAGCTGGTAGAAGTGGAAGTGGAGGATAGGGGCCAGAGGGGCAGACGACAGAATCCAATGATGGGAGAAAAACAAAACAAAAAGCAAAAAAAACACATCGAGTGAAATAGGTAGACGGGAGATAAATCGCCACTCACATTGAAAAAGACAAATACGACAGCACCACTTGAAAAGCACCTCGCGCACGCTTCCAGCCCTACGACTACGCGATGACACCACAGACCAAGGCACGATGCACAACTTTTTTTTTTGTTACACCCAAACATGGCACGCGGTAGGCGAGAAAGTTGCGAAACAAATGACAAACGGGGAAGCACTGACGACGCCACACAAACTGGTCCACACCATCGCGCGTGCTGACAGCGCCGAACGAGACATATCAACAATGGCATGAGCAAGGGTCGTGGTGATAGGGACGACTATCGCCTTCGTGGAATATGAATCGCCACGCATCTCATGCGTTCGGAGGTCACCAAATAATAGTAGTGAAAAGGGCAGGGTTCACAGGCGTCCCCGAGGTAAAACCTGCCCTAAACCGTACGAGACTACAGTACACTGCTTCGTATTCGATGCCGGCCGTTGAACAACAAAACCAAGCAAGGGCTTGCATCTGATGCCGGTTGATCGATAACCGTCGCCAACACCTAAAACATGATACACAGAAAGGAAACCACCGAAAAAGACGGAACCGACTCGGAGTTGAATTCACAAGAGAAAACACTGGGAAAGTCGGCGGTTTCTGAAAAATTCACAAACTACCAAAGCGTGCTGCACTAGCACTTGATGAGTCCAAACTGCTGAAAACCCAAGATTTTCAGTCCAAAATCACAAAAGAAAACACGCGCCATTGTTCCGTCAATTGGGAACCCACAAGGAACACTTGGAAGTTCGATCTATCACAAGCCAATTACATCGTGTCGATTTTTTGGAGACCTACATATCTCAATTCATCCCAGGGTTCTACTTGCAGAATTAGGCACGTCTGGGCAGCACCGGTACACGTCAACTACACTTGTACGATCTCTTACGGACGTGGCGAGAGAGTGCGGCCCACTGAAAGCGATCCCGAACTATTACAAACTGTGGTGACAAGGGCGGTGAATCCGAGTGCTGCATGTCCACATGTAGTGTATGGACTGAAGCGAGGCTACTTGACGTTGGGAGGTCGCCATCAAAAGCTTGCCGCTCTCGCCTCGAAGTGAATCACCCCCTGACTATCCACACGGGTTCCCCTTGAACTGCCACAACCCTTTCCTAGATCCCGCCCAACCTGAACCGACAGGGGGCGTCTTGCTGGCGTCATGCGAGGCACACCGGATCCTTCAGGACCTGCAGCCCTCGACAGACTGCCGCCAACCCCGTGGCCGCTGTTGGTATCAGGGGTACCTCCCCTCCCGACGCAAAAAACCCCCCCTACACACGTCAGCTGACATGGCACACTCCGACGGCGATAGCTCCAGTTGAATGTAGACAGAGTAGCAGGGGGTCACCTCATCTTGACCTCTTGAGTAGGGAGACACACTCTACGTAAACCTCTTCCACCTGTTGGACGCGTCCTATTTCGTCGTAAAATCATCGCAGCAGGGCTAAACGTTTTATGCCAAAAGTGCACTCCCCTACCGTAGCAGGATACAAATGAAAAATGAGATTAGAGTATTCAAACCGTTCCTGCATGCTGTTTAGCGTGCACCCACCGATGTCCCTGCCAACGTTCTCTGGCACGCATTTCCCCTAGCCCTAATGCATTATGAAACTCCCGTTTAAGCACCTCCGACGGGCCAGGTGGTCATTCAACTACGACGGAAGGTCGTCCCCATATGATTTACCATGTTGTACTGAACATCCTGCAAGCAAGCACCCGGCCCGCCTCACGGCTGGCCTTATCCCCCCCCCCAAAAAGATTCACAATATCAATCAAGATAAATATACACAACAAATCAAGACGAAGCTTTTCAACCCAACGCCAGCGATGCCCACGCGTGGTTCTACGGGAAGACCGGGCGAAGATATGCCCCCAGGAGGAAAGGGACGACGTCACAGCTGCTACAGAGAGCAGTCACCGCCGTTCTTCCATCGCCATCGCATCCATCATTCTCCTCGAAGTATGTGCCCCCCGTTTGCTAAATCGATTGGCGACGGGCGACAGATACGGTGGCGGCGGCCGAGACAGCATCGTCCGCACCCGCGTCAGCAGGTCGGAAGTCGAGCTTGGAGCGTCTCTTCCTGCGCCTCCGGGAGAAGCGCCAGATCCTCCTGGGCCCCGGTGACCGACTTGGAGCAAACAACAGCCCGAACAGGGCGTAGACGATGGCTGCCGACCGATGTGTTTCATATTCACATGGGCGAAAAACAGCGGAATGAAAACAAGCAAATGAGGAATTTTTCAATTTGGATTTTTATGAAGTTTTTTTTTTCAGCGTTTTATCGACAAAGTCAACACGACAAAGTGATGCAAATGATCGCTTCGGGTAATGAAACGGATGTACGTGCGTGAAAGCTAAGGGGCAAGAACAGCGACAAACATGAACACTCGATGGAACGAGCCGTTCTACATGGAGGAGATGTTGCATGGGTGCGCCAGGAAGCCGAGCAGGGCCTGCACCATGGCCCCATCTATTTGTTGAGAAAGGACGAGATATTCGAGGAGTGAGCAAAGAACGTTTTTCGCCGCTAGTAAAAGACAGCCACACCTTGAAGCAAAACATCAAAGAACGGGGGTCAATAACCTTCGGCAAGAGCGCACCGCTTTACTCTCTCACCTAGCATGCCGCCGGCCGCACCCACCATCGATGGGTAGTGGCTAGGGTCGTACTCCTCGACCGTTTGGAAAGAAAACTCGTTGATGCTGAAGGTCGCGAACAGGATTGCCCCGGAGAAGGGATCGGCGTTATCAAGCTGAAGCGATTGCTGGCCCGTAGTGGTCACCTAGGGCACGTCAGGCAACCACGACGAACGAGTCGGAGAAAAGTTGTTATGGGGTTAGGGTGTGCTGCTACAATAGTGACAATGCATCGCGTCGGATAGATCGCTACCCGAGTCGGCGGTTGTTCCTCAAATGAGCAAGGCCAGGTCCTGCTGCCACGTGTCCCACGCGCCCTGCAACAGCGTGAATTTCTTGTGTCACAGAGGGCACCGAAATCTCACCTGCGTGTACCCTCGCTCGGTCGTGCTGCCCGTGACCTCGTCGGGCTGTAGCAAGACGTGCTCCGCTAGTTCCAAGGTCTGCAAACGAACGAGGTTTTGGAGGGAGAGGTCTGAGCCCGGACTTATGTGTACAGCGGTGACTGCGAACCACGCGCGTGCGTGCAGCATCCGAGGAATACCAGCAACCACAAAATGGATAGAACGAATCGTCTTCCAGCGTAAGTCCAACGTCTCCAAAAGGGGATGACTTCGACCACGGGTCTGTTGTCCGTCACAAATGACAGCACGGGGACAGGGGAAAAGCGAAAATGGGAGGGTGGAAGCCTCACCAAATCTCTGGCGCCGGCGCGGGGTTAGCCATGGTCCTCCTGTTGCTGCATTTCGCGCGTCCGTAGTATGTCTAAAGGCAAACGGGTGTTTGCTCGAGCATTGGTTCGCAAACATTCGTTATCTTACCGTGTTACCCATAAGTTGTAGTTGACTTGGCAGCAAGAATCTGATCTGACCGGCACAAGGTCGTCCCTGGATGCATCGCTATTTTTCACATGCTTTTTAGTGGGAGTCCATCCACAGCACTTTCAGCTCCAGCGCTGCCAATAGAATCGGCCATTGTAGCAGTCGATTCTTCGGCGAATTTTCCGCGCCTTGCTTGTGGCCTCACATTAGGTCCCAATCACTCGGGTGTGTCTTGTCAACGTCGTGCCGATTGACTAATTACGAATACGAAACTTAAGCAGTCTGCGGCGGAGAGATACTGCAGGCGGACGACAAGTAAGTGCGGTTTACCTGAGAAACAGGCCCTACCCAGCGATACAATTTACACGTGCAACAACAGTTTGAACTGCTTCCACCCACTACATCGCTGTCCTTTCTTTTTCCTCCGGCTGACTGACTGAACGACGACTCTCGTCCGAAACTCCCTTTCCCATTAACAAATGTACCCCGGTGTATTGTGCGTGTCGAGGTGTTCCTCTGTCGCCTGCTCACCACATCGTTGGAGACGAACGTGATGGATTCGGACGCGTTGGTGGCGTCGACGGAGATTCGGTCGTACGGGAGCCTAGCCAGCGTCACCACGGCGTTTTCTAAGTCAAAGTCGTCGCCTTCATCTCCTTCACCGATAAGGAAGGTGTTAATAAACCGGCGTGTGCTCGACACCGGGGTCTCGGCGACCTCGTCCGACCACAAAACCTGTCATTGGTTGGTTCATCGCGATACTTAACGGGACCAACCCTGTGAGGTATCTGTATTTTTTCATTTGTTCACCTGGAAGAATGGATGATAACCTCAGGGAAAAAGGCGAAAGAGTTCGGATGTGTTGAGACTATTGACTGCGGCATACGGATGTCTTGACCATATGTGTACAGCGTTGGACGTCGAGCGGACGCTGTATAATAATCTTCCCCCCCCCCCCCCCCCNGAGACTATTGACTGCGGCATACGGATGTCTTGACCATATGTGTACAGCGTTGGACGTCGAGCGGACGCTGTATAATAATCTTCCCACCCACCCACCCCCGGGTACCCATGTGAGAGTCCGGAATCCTGGAAAGATGGATTTGTGTGCCCGCAGACGTCACTTAAAGAACCCTGAGCTTGCTGTTTCGGTGCTCCCCTCAGGGGTCCCCTTTGGAGACGGGTTGCCCGTTTCACCGAAAAGCAAGGCTCGCGCCCCGGTGGACAACTCGGAACACATGCCACAGCCAACGCATAGAACCTGACCACAAATTGTGATCTCGGTTGTTCAACACAAACAACGTTTTGTGCGACACAGCCGGGCGAACTCCCATTCCAGCACGATTCTTGGTTCACCCGTATTTCCCATTTCCGTCATTCCTTTCGGCGACCCTCACCCCACAGTTTCTACGTAGAACCCCCGTGGTCTTGCCTCTCTACGTCAAGACCTTCGAACCGGGTTACGATGGAGGGACTCCATTGTTCTTTCAATACTTCGTTTGGGGCACCGGAAGTCACTCGCAGTTCTGCCTCCCCCCTCCCGGTGCGTTTCGTGTCGTCAAACATTTTCCGGATTCAGGGTGGAGGGTGGGGAGGTGTACCTCATCGTACCACTTTAGTGCAATACAAAATGAACATCAGCGTCATGGCCGAACCGGTGTAGTCCAAGGATAACAAGCTCACGTATACGGAAGCATGCAGGGACTGAACGTCCCCGGAGGCGATCCCATCCCAGTCCACCGTCAGCCTCGACAGCGGGATCGTGGGGCACCAGGAGTGTGCGGTCGTGTCCATCATCGCCGCCAGCCGAGCCGCGGCCGCTCCCGACGCCGCGGGCGCTGCCTCTGCCGCCGTCGTTGTCGCTGCTGCTGCTGTTGTAGTTGTTACTGTTATCGTTGGTGCTGTTGTGGCGACTGCTGCAGCAGCCGGTGGCGGCGACACTCCGGACTCCGCAGCCGCAGCCGCCGGCGACGGCGATGGGGCCGTTGCGGTTGCTGGGGTTACCGTCTGTGTTGCCAACGAAGCAGTAAACAATTCCGCGTCGTCTTCGAACCCCTGGGTGGGCACGACGTGCGACAGAGAGAAGAGCGGATGCAGTTTCGGCTCTCGCTACACACTCCGGGAACAGACCGATACACACCCGAGATTGTCGGACTAAGCAACCACGCGTGTCCCAAAGACGCCGAGTAATGGGATCGTCAAGGAGTACTCGGTGAGAAACGACCCATCGAAAACTGCGATGGTCGTCGACCGCCACAGCGCCGTACTGGATTCCAACCACTGCCTCTCGCTATCGACAATAAACACCACTCCGAAAAACACTGAACAATGAAAAGCTTCTCTGTGTACAATTGTATGTCGGAACAGGGGCGTCATCGTCTACACCCTGTGTACCATACTCACAGAACACCTCTACTGGCACAGAATACAAAAAACCGGGCTTGAAAACAACAACGAACAGGGACTACGGTGAACACCTTCTTGTGCGATGCCTGGATAAGAACCAAAAACCTCTACGCCGGTGGCTGTCAGCAGCTGCCAGGGAAATCAAAACCTAGCCCTCGGAAAGTTATGTACCCTCCCATTGCGCGAACGGAAAACATGTGTAGCAGAGGATCGAAGTTTGGATATCTCTCGATGAGTCGGTTGTGACACGAACACAGCGGGGTGTTCTGCTCAAGCACGTCCTAAACAACCATTGCTTACATATGTACTACAGATATTGGGGGGGGGGTGGATCATCCTTACCGACAGAGCAGAGACGAAGAGCTGCATGCCTTCCAGGCACTCCAAGGGGTCTCCTGCGTCGCACCCCGCCCCCGCGGTAGGACAAAGGGCCACGTCCGGAAAGCCGAAGGGCTCGGCCTGCACACAGATCCAATTTACATGCACGTGCGCGAGTTGGACGTTGAGGGAAAACGGATGGATTGGGCGGTTTGCGATCTGAGGCGGGATGGTATCAAAAGCATCTCGTACCAGGTACAATATTGGCCAAGAACGAGGAGAGGGCGGATGGTGCTCTTTGTTTTTTTTCTTACAGACGACAATTAAATCCAACCAATCCTAGTTCCTAGATAAACGATTAACAAACGAAAGACAACCCCATCTCTGTTCCTATGTAGATACGGATAGACAAAGACGAAGAAGCGGTTGTATGTGCCAACGAATCTCGCAACAGCATGGTGCACCCTCGCGCAGCGTTACTTCATCGCACCCCTTCCCCCGGGATCTGTTGACACCTCGTCTCAATCTTGGAAGAGAGGCAGCCAAAACTACGCCCTTTTCTTGTTTGTGTTCTTGTTCCTCTCCCACGTGTCCCCCTTTCCTTTCGTCCTTGTTACCTTTTCATAGATCCTGACGGGAGGGTTCAACCTGTGAGAACGATCGCACGCGACCAGCTTCACAACCCAGAAGATGACCCCGCCCAGTAACGCCACCCACGCTACGTTGGCCTTGCACCGGTCGGCCGTTACCGTCTCATGCGGGGGCCTGATTGGCGGAGGGGACAGGGCGGCGGATGGTTCACTTGTTGAACGCAGTTCCCCATAACGCATCTCGTCCGTTTCCGGTCAACAACGCTCGTTGGTTTTCTGACGCGAGACTCCTCAATTCGGCGTCTGGGTGCGCTCTGAAGGGGATGATCACTCTTTCCCGCCTTTTCGTCACCTCGTTCGTTCCTCGTTTTTTCTTGGGAGAGGGGGGCAGAGTGGGTTCAACGCACTATCCACACACACGCGAGCTTGACATATTGCCGATCGATCCGTCCATCAGTATGCTACATCAGCATGCTACGGAGTTCAAGACGTTGCTTCTTCTAACACTGGACGAGCTATGTTCTTGCGCAAGTGGAAAAACCCGATTCCTCCGTTGAGGAATCTGCATACAATATATGACATCGACAACGACCGAACTGTCATAATAGCCTTTCGACACTTCGGTCGTTGTTGTCGTTGATGTTGTTTCCACATTGACACATTGATTGGTGACGTTTCTCTTTCCGTAGCCGCTGTGGCGGGATTTTCGCCATGTCAGAAGTTGGGAAACCAAGTGATATAACAGACCTGGTAGCCCCGCCACTGATGGTGTTTCGTGGCGGACAGTGCTTCCGATATTCACTCGGCCTACAGCAGTCCCGACATCAGACTCAACGTCGAGGAAGAGTCAATATCTAGAACGAAAAGACCACAGTAGTCGAGTGTTATTTGTTATTTCTTGCGAGGCGCTTCAGCCAGAACGGCCTCTCCGGAAGCTTTTCCTCACGCACTTCTGTCGTGCCAACATCACGAAAAAGGCTGCTACAGTAGTGCTCGCCGAAAAGGGCGGGCTTCTTTCCTCCGGAATTCAAGCCGTCTCATGGTCCCTTTTCACTCACCACAAACTGTCCACAGTCTCGTCCCCACCAAATTGGACCCTCCCAGCGCCGCCAAACGTTTGCCTTGTGCTGTATGATCTGTAGATGGTGGCGTTAGTCGCCGGGCGCGTGGTCTCGGACGAAGTCATGGGCGCCTCGCTGTCCTCTCTGAGCGGCGAACAGACCATGACTTATTTTATCCCCAACTGATTTTATCGTGATGATGATGCGTAAATTTAGCATTTGCTCGGCCTGCTCCAACGGCGTAATATCGTTTTGGGTCCAAGTCTGGGCAGTTATTCCCGAACACGCTCGTGTCCAAAACTGGAGAAAGCGCACGCAACCGCCAAAATTTTCCCGTAACGCTTGTCAACCTGGCCGGCGGTTTGCGCTTGTTGTTACCTCTTCTGTCCCTTGAGCTCGTCGGTGTTGTCCTTTATTCCGATGGGAAGCCCTGTCACTGGCCTGAAATGCGATGGCGCTCGGTAGATCGACATCTTTGGACCTCGCTGCGGAGATGAAGCCGCACAATGTACCACCTCAAGAGAATATCGTGGCGGTCAGGATAGTATTTACCCTGGAATTTTGCGTTCAGCAGGGGGCGAGGGTCGTAACATGTTGCTGGCGACGGTAGGAGGGACGCTGGAACGTTGATTCCTTCACCACCTGCTACTGCTGTGCACGTCCTGAAGTGTGTAAAACGGCGACACCGAACTGGGTCAGAAGAGAATACCGACGTGGCGTTGGATTGATGCGGGCAGGACGATTCCAAAGCGCCAAACGGGCCCTACCTTTGCTTCGTCAACAAGGGATGTGCCAGTCATTCACACACATTATAGCCCGATTTCACAGCGCTTTGAATACGATGCCTGCGTCACAATGTAGTGTATCATGTATGCATACACGCTACATGGTTATATGTCATTCGAACCAGGAGCGCAGGGGCGGGGATACATTATCCCATATGTGATATTCATAATCCCAATGCTTTGATTTGCGAAGGTAAGCACAACCTTGAGCACTTTGAGTTCGAGACCAATAGACGTGTAGCTTTCAGCGTGATGACATGAATATTATCTACAAAAAACGAGCGCGTCGTGTTGACCCGTACACAACTTCAACGGGTGCCAATCGATGCCTCCGCATTCCCTGGGTTCGCACGTGTCAATGTACACTCTACTGCGGGTAGCAAACTGCACACAAATGACATAAATGACACAGCTGATTGTTTCGGTTTTCTTCCATTGGTCGGTCTACAGAGGTCAATACGTAAGAACCTCCGTGCATTTACTCGTCGCCGCATGCTCGTGGCAGCACAATGAGTATGGTCGACGAAGGATTTACGTTTCTTTCCACATCGTGCGTTGCCTCCAATACAAGTCGCCTCAAACGCTCAAACGGCATAAGGTGGGTGAATCACCCACCTTATTGGGTGATGCAACCGTTTGCGTGAACCCTGTGACCAATTCCGAGTTACTTTCAGAGAGACACCCCGACGAAAATGCCACGGCGCAACATTCCATGAAATTTCGAACGAGTAAGTACAGCTTGCGCATCATCTGATTGCGTGTGCATGCGAAACCCACAATGTAAACTCCCTTTCCCCCCAAGATTACGTAATGTGTAAGCTCCCAGAGAGTAGGAGCGCTGCCGCCAGGCACATGCGACGTGTCAAAGCCTATTCTCCTAACACAAATAGCTACATATACGCCGTACACCCCGCCGGGATAATTAATACTTCCTAGTAGACTTCAAAGCCTTGTCTATATTTTGTCCTTTTTTGCGTTAACTGACGATGCGGATGCACGAGCGAGTTCGCCCCTACAACTGCAAGCTGGAGGAGGCAGAGATGACCCTTGCATTTGTCCCTTGGCGGTTTCCATCGCATGTAGGCCCCTTTACGCTACATGCTGTCAACGCAGTTGTGCGGCACAACGCCGACGCTACACCACCCGTCCAGGAGTCTCACTGCCGTCTCACGGTCTGATGTAGCGGGAAGAACGGAAGTATAATGAGCGTCGGACATGGCGTGCGCGCCTCGTTGTCTCGTGTAGCTGTGGGTCGAGGGTTAGTCTAGAGGGCGTTCTTCACTTTGTACCTCCCCATGGCCATGTTTGGGCGATCTAAAGAGATGACGTGGGGTTTCAATCTCGCTCTCTCTCTCTCTCTCTCTCTCTCTCTCTCTCTCTCTGACTCTCTCTCTCTCTCTGACTCTCTCTCTCTCCATTCTCCATCCCCACCTGCGAAACCTCTGTGTGTCCTCTGCCTCTGTCGTGAGTCAAGTCCACCACGCTTGCGCTTCCGCGTCAGTTGCTGTTGTTATAGTAGTTTAGAGACTTTGCATGCGTGGAAGCCCGAGGACTCCACCTCCCTTCCTGCTCTTCTTTACCACAAGGCAGGCCTTGATGTGCTGCGTGTGGTGGATGGCGACGAAGGTCGGGGTGGTCGCGTCAGTAGGGCGGCGGTGGGTAGATGATTGATGCTTGATGGGTTGCTTGCTGGGGGGAAAATGTGTAGAATGCTCTGTACATGTACAATGTGTACTGCAGAGCATTTACACGCGAGTCGACACTTGACCCTTGACTGCAGTTTGGAGCAGCCCATCATTTCGGAATAGACCGATCAGACACGCCAGCGGCGGAGAGTTTTCGTTCTACAGATCAACGCGAGTCGACACTTGACGTTGTGAAGTAGTCCATGTATGTGGTGCTCACAGGCAGGCAACCCCGGACTCATCGCTTCTCGCAGCGTGACTACAGGCAGACGAGTTGGCAGGCATTCCGTGGCAGGTGGATGTAATTTAAGCCCGCCGCGCGTGTTTGCTCTCGGTCTGTGCCGTCTGTGCCTCAGAAGCAGCAGTTGTTTGTACTGAAGATACGTCAACACTGCGACTGTCTCCTACCATACGTACACATTCTACACAGGAAGGCTACAAGTGGAGTCATTTTATCTGGCCCCTTCATCCACCCGTTGTCGCAGGAAACAATTCGCAGTTTGAGTGTAGAAAAACCCGTTGGTGGCCACCGTGACCCTTTCATATGCGTAGTCTAGAGTAAATAAGATAAGAGACCCTCCGCTCAAACAGCTCGTTCTTGACTATTAGGACAAATATCATTGATGTCGAGGTATCTTATGATAGCTAACATCACAGGCTACCACCAAAAAAAAAAAACGTAAGTGCTGGGAAGATATGGCTCCTGTAATACCCCTAATGTTCCGGGATAATAAGGTGGAAAACGCCCCCGCCCCCGTTAAGAGACACTGTAAAGATTTGGTGATTGCGCGAGATCTGAAGCGTTTCAAAACCTAATTTTTTTCGTACACGCTTTGCTTGAACTCATGTCCATGTAGAAATATTTTATTTTGGGATCGATCCAGCCAGTTTTCGTTGATCCGGTTTGCCTCGTAGATGTGAGTTGTTCGCTCCGACAACGCCGGTGCCTCGCCATGAAGCCGTCAAGCCAGCTGCGCCCCGGGCCCTTATCTGGGTCCCAGGGCACCGGGCGTCCGTCGAGGCAGAGCACTCGCACCGCATCTATCTATGAGCTGCTGCCGACCGAAACTCAGAAAGTGTCGAGAAGTGTAGATCAACGCATCTTCCACCGCATCTTCTTCCGCCTTGCTCAGCACAGTCTCGGGGCCAACCCTCGCATCCATGGCCATAGCACCGCTCAAACGTCGCGAGAGCGCGTCCTTGTTCACCCCGTAGGCCTTGGCAGCAGCCCTGAGAGACAACTGACCACTGCGGACCGCATCGCAAGCCTTCTGTGCCTGTTGGGTCTACTCTTGCCCGGCCCATGCTCGCAATGCTTAGCAACGGGCCCGCCACAGGGATGAAAATGACCCGCATCACGGGTGTGGGAGGGCGTGTTGCTGTATCTCGTGGGTGCGTGACCCGATCGGGACGCTGAAGTGCTCAAACGAAAGCTAATGGAACGCTTGAAAATTTGAAAAAAATCAGGGGTCCCCCCGGATTGTGTGCGGAGATATGTGCACTTGAAAGAATGTGTCTCTTAATAGGGGGTGTGGCTGCTAGCATGAATAGGGTACATCTCATTGTTGATAGGATGCGGGTCGGTCAGGAGGTATACCCTTCTGACCCCTACGCCCTTAGTTTGTCTACTCTGTGTACCCCCTGAGATGAAATTGGATCCCCACTTCATCTCAGACCCTTGCTGATCGTCTCTCAGCAGTAACAAGCAACTTTCCCATCTCAGCGTGGTCTTGGACAAACGTGTCAACGACAGAACCTTCATCTATCTCTAGGAGCAAGCTACCGCCCACGGCTTCACTCCTTGAAACTAAGCTACCGCCCACAGCTTGACTCCTTGAAACTACGATGAAAATAGTCTGCAGACAATGGTATAGCTATGGCAATAACAATAAACCATTGTAATACACCATTGTCTGCAGAGGTTGAGGGTTTTGATAGCGCTTGCGCGCGTGTTGGATTACAACTACTGTACACTACAGTACATACCATACAGTCTAATTCCTACCTCCATTTGCAGCCGAGCAACCGCTTACGAGTGCTGGTATTATCTCGTATGCATTTAATATTGAGTTAGCCTCGTTGCCTACAATACAGACGAATGAATTCAGAAGAAACACAACAACACCGTCCGGTCAGTCCAAAAAGTCGATCGTCCTTTTCTTCATATCACACACTAACGAATAGCTGGTATATCGGAACTGCCACTAGAATACTGGTGCCTAGACTGTACTTCATCTTGCAGATAAATTCCCCCCGTATTGCGGTCCGTGCTCTCGGGCACATTTCGGACATCCCTCGACCTCACGTTCCAATCACCAGTTGTTCAGCGCCTCCTTCCCACAACCCGGTGTTCTTAGTGTTTTCTCGGCTCAGCTGACCTCACGTTCCAATCACCAGTTGTTCAGCGCCTCCTTCCCACAACCCGGTGTTCTTAGTGTTTTCTCGGCTCAGCTTCCAACGGCACAAAAATATGTTTGAAGTGTACAAGTAGACTCCATGTAGGTCAGAACCTGGGAAGAATTCGGGCTGCCAGGTTCCGAACACACGATCCTCTCCCGTGTTCGTGATGAATGGCCGTAAATCCACCAGGAGGACCAGCGAGTGCCCGCGGACACGAGCCAAGACAATTGTATCGACGGTCCCGGAACGTCGATACAATTGAATGGTATGTAGACAAATTCGTCCGTCAAGGCATTGTCTCTCGTGAGTATGAAGAGACGAACGTAGAGCAAACGCCTGAAAGGAGACAACTTATACTGTAGTACTTCAGTACGTTCACGAGGCGTTGGTTGCTCAAACCTTGAATCTGCCAGGGGGATGTACTCGCCCAGGATGGCGAATCAACGCCCTCAGGTCCACTTACTATACAGGTACCCGAAGCTTTGCAGATTTGGGATCCTTCACTCCCATTGACTCGTTTTATGTGGTTTCACTTCAACCCCTTTCAGTGATCTTCTCCCGCTGCGGCTCCGTGGGTCCGCTATCAGTATCTTCTGTCCGAATTTTCGAGCAATGCTGCTGCTACATCACAACTAGCGTCGAACCTCCCCAGCCAGAGGTCGTTGTTGAGCATGCTGCGGTTGCAGGAATTGTGGAAGTGACAACCTCCATCGGTGTTTGAAATCGCGTCGGGGTGCGATGAAAATACGTGCAGATATACATGGGGGTTCGTTTCGATTTCCCCATAGGAGTCGGGTTATTGTCATGGGGGTCCACAAGGGGCGTGCGTAAGACGTGCCGTAGAATGCCGTATGGATGGGAACTATCAGACCATTTGATCAGGATCACAGTCATGAAGCATGTTTCCACCGGGATAAACTCGCTTGGGGGACACTCCATCGGGCGAGATGTTGCACGCAGAAGCGAGTGGGACCAAGGCACAGAGCGAGCTGAAACCGTTCCTGTTAAACCTGAGGGGGGGGGTGTACTCGTAGTCGTGCATGCCGTAGTCGTTAGACCATTGACCTCGCATCCCTACAAAGCCGGGACGGAGCACGCCGGGTTCTC